AATATTATCATCTCACTAGGGAGCACAAGGCATGTTTCAAGCACCCAACGGCTACTTCAGACCAGGCTCCCGAGACACATGACTTTTGAGCAAACCACTGGCCACAGGGTAGATTTGACTACACCCACTGTGTAAAGGGAAGAGAGAAGCCCAGAACAATGTTAAAGGCTTCTTCCCACGTGGCTTCTTCCCATGTCTAAATAGTGTCCTAGACCGTCCAGGGCTGGGGGCAGACAATCAGCTGTACTGGATCACTCCCTTCAAGAAAGGCCTCTGCCTTGTCCCACCACTTCCACTTTTGCCCCCTTAACACTGTCCTCCATCTTCTGAGCCAAAAGCCCAATTCCGATTTAGTATCGGAAACTCTCCTCCCTGGAAATGCAGGTGGGCATCAAGAGCAATTCACAGTGAAGAGGTAAGACAGGAGCTCACCGTGTTCCCTTCAGTAAAAGATCTGAGCAGCATCTGGGTCCTGGATAACACCGGAAGCTACTTTCAACAGTGCCGCCACTAATGGCTAATTTATCCTGCACTTTCTCTGTGCAAGGAATGCACCAATGCTTTACTTGATCGATGTCGTTTGAATCTTATAAAAGCATACGGTTGTGACTAGGAGCTCCTCAACCCTGCCCATCTCATTATACAGACTGAAGTGGCAAGGCTTCAGGAGACCAAGCAACCTGCCCAAGGATTGCACGTGGAGCAGGTGGCAGACCCGGGGTTCTAAACAGACCTGAAGCCAGGCCAGAGTCTTCACTCCTTCACAACACTACCTTCTTGATACATTTCCAACTGCAGCTACACAGTAACCCACTTCTCTGTTTGCAGTGTAGCGAACCAGTAACCACAGGCGCACCCTCTAAGATCCTTTACGAAGTTTGCCAGAGGCAGTGAAACCTCCGTCCTTGTGGAAGGATCCCTCCCGCCTCCCTGGGATCTCACTCCCATTCAGCAATGAAATATTAGCTGAGGTTTCTGCTCATTGACTTCTTCAGACTCCCAACGGCAGTCATCGTATCCATTTTTAGATACAATGTCACAAAAGGATAAATTACCAAAAAGAGACTTCTCATTCACCTTGTTAGTCTAAATTACTCAAACACTTTAAAAGCAGTCTGTTTTAATGTTTGACCCTAATAAAATGATTAAAGCAAAAAATGTTTAAAATGTATGCTACAGTATTAAAATTTCTAACATAAATCTTGGAAAAGGTCAATCTTTTCTATTTTCCTTGGAATTAACACTTGAATATATTACACATAGGAAATAGGCAGTGTCATTAATTTCAATCAATCCTAACTACCATTCTACTTCAAATCCTTTAAAGTTCAGGAATGTATTGCTTTGTCTACAAATTTGCTCTGATATTTAACCGTAGTATTACAGCTCATCTCTACTGAGCCCATTTCAATTGAGCAGCACAACCAGTGGGTGCCTTGGTGGCACAGTGGGTTACACCGGGGCTGCCAACCACAAGGTCAGCAGTTTGATCCCCACCAGCCACTCAAAAGGAGAAAGATATGGCTTTCTGCCTCATAAAGATTTGCAGCCCAGGAAGGGGTCAGTATGAGTCAGAATTGACCCCACGGCAGTGAATGGAGAGAATTACCACACTGAGGTGTCAGGAGCCTGGTCATAATCATGTAAAATTACAAGTAAATAAAATTACAGGTATTCTCTCCCCTTCTGAAAGTTCTTTTTGCCACTTAATTTTACAAAAGACCTACATCAGTACATGTTTTCCATAAATGGAAGCGAGAAGCTGGAAGATTTTTGGTTTTACAGAAAATAAAAGTGGAAAGCAATACTAGCATTTGTTTTGTAGTGAGCTGCTAGAAAGATAACGGATGGTGAATGGAAGTTGCTACACTTCCTGGGGGACTACTCTAAGCATCGAGCCATCATAGCTTTGAGCTGTATCTAAGAATACCCTATGCTGGTTTTATTTTAGGTTTTATATGCTATTTGGTTTGATTTGGTAGGGTACTTGACGGGTGTTGGAAATATTTTTGTTCATTTCCCCAGATGAATAAATGGTCATTGCATCTTCACTTTCCACCACTTTGGCTTACGAAAGGTTTCACAGGAATACTTGACTTTTCAGTGGTGAGAAACACTTGTACTTTTAGTGAAACATATACTTTTCATCATGGTCCCACATTTTAATATCTGCTAGTCTAGACACATATGAAATGCATAACTACATGATGTCCTAATCTTTTTTTTCTAATTACCAATTAGAAACAAATTAGAAAGAGAACACATGAAAACAAAAAAATGACTCACTGCCATCAAGTTAATTCTGACTCCGGGTAACCCTACTGGACCCAGCAGAACTACCTCTGTGGGTGTCTGAGGCTGTAACTCTTTGAGAGCAGAGAGCCTCATCTTTCTCCCTTGGAGCCCCTGGTGGGTTGAACTGTTGACCTATGGTTAGCAGAATCATTATTAAAAAGAAAATGGCTGTACTTTTAAGAATCATAATTATCCATTTGTTCAATTCAGCAAGCATTTTCCCGTGCTAGCAAGGTATTCTCCTTTCAATCCTGAAATGTCAGCGGGGGTGGGCCTTATATTTATAGCACAGATAGAGAGAGACATGGCTTTATTTGTAAAGTACTTAATTTGAAGGTTTCTCTGTATTTTGCCAGTTTGTTACTGAGTTAAGCTTATTGTGCCAACCTGGCCGATAAACACACGTGGGGTTAATTGAAGGGCAGAGAGATAAATGGCTCGGTGAGCCTCGCCTTTCGAGTTCTCGGGTCTCTTGCCTTCTGATGGTCGGACCAGGGTGCAGCTGCCATGGCCAGTTCCCTGCTTTAGCTAGCAAGGCTCACTTCTTGCAAGACATCCCTGAGGAGAAACCACATTGACCTACTCCAGTGCAGCTCTGGGTGCTGGGGCAGCCATGTGGAGACTCCTGCCAGCGCTGAGATGCTTACACATTCATTGACTCAGCTTTCCTCCTGCAGTTGGCATCTTTGGGTCTGTTTTGTGAGATGGAGGAGGGCTTTGTAGATTGATGTTAGACATATGGGTTATGAATGTTGGACTTGTGGGCTTGGGAAGCACTGGGTTGGGATGTTTTGTTTTGGGATTTTTGGGGGGTTTTTTGATGCACACTTAACCTTTATATAAAACTCTCTTATACATGAGTTTCTGTAGATTTGTTTATCTAATGTACCCAGACTAACACAGTTACCTTGAAACATAAAGACAAGAATAAACCCAACTATAACAAAATATGTTTCTTGGAAACCATCTGTACAGCTTGGTGAATTACAAATGAGCAAAACTTCAACTGAAATCACCAGTCCTGAACTTCTGAGGCTCCAGAACACAAGTCAAAAGGAACTACCCTCCAACAACAGCTCAAGATGATCTTGGGCAGCGGAGAAGAGCGGCGAGGTGATGGCTCATGACGGGATGAGGTCATCAGCTACTTTCTGCACAAAAACCTTTGAGGCAGCAGAGCGCGGTGCTATGTGCTGCCTTGCTTCTGTCCTCTTGTTCCCTGACTTGCACTCATAAACCTCCTTAAGACATCATCCATCTCCTCCAGAACTAAACAGGGCTTCAGGAGATGAGTGGGGTGTAAATTCAGAGATTCTCGCTTCAAGAAATATCCCTATTAACAGAAAATAGGTGAGGGGAAGAAAAACAAGAGATAAAGGAAGAAAGTATAAACACTTGACCTTTAGGGAAGGGGGGCCGGGGGGGGGGCGGCGAGGAATAACAACTCAGATTGGGAGTCAAGGGCTTGACTAAAAAAGTGGGAAACTGAAATTTCCCACTGGCTGGGTCACAGATCAAGGTGGTTATGTGCCATCAAGTAGATTCCAACTCACAGCGACCATAAGTGACAGATCGACTGTCCCACGGGATTTTCTAGACTGCCATCTTACAGAAGTAGCTCACTAAGTTTTATCCCACAAGGAGAGGTGCCCAGTGGGTCTGAACCACCAGCTCTTTGGTTGGCAGCTGAGGACTTAAATATGGCATCGACAGGGCTCCCTTTCACAGACCCATGAGGTCCCCCTTTTCAACACTAGGCCCCAAGACTAGGGTGAGCCCAAATCTAGTACGAGTCTGGTGGTGGTTGATTTTTATAGCAAAAGGACGCCAAAAATGTAACAATCTCATCTGCAAGTAACTAAATGAAACAAGTCCTAAAGCAATGTCATATGATCACAAATCACAAAGGGCACAGTCATCCAGTTATGCATTTCCTGCAACCCTATTAAATGCCAGGGAAATCAGAGGTCCCACCACCACACAGTTGAAATGTGCTCAAAAGTAAAAGGAAAACCTTCCAGGTGGGAGGTGTAAATGGTTAAAGGTGACAAAAAAAAAAATTAACCCGTACCAAGTTTTACATAGAAACTGGGTTATAGGTGTCTTAAGAAGTGTAAGAAGAAATTGGGGTGGGGTATGAAAATGTCATACAAGTCATCATAATAGGGGGTAACCAAAAAGAAAGAGTTTTACGGATGTTAAACCAGTTCAACTTCACAACAATCCAATGTGGTAGGGTCGTTCTCCCCAAGAAGGAAACGAGGGAGAAACTCACCTAAAGCACTAGCCTAGGTGGCAGCCTTGGGCAGGCGACGCTACTCCAGCAGTTGCTTTGAATACACAACCGCGGCGGCAGACTGCAGACCCATGACCTGGCTACTTTCATTCATTTTCTGGAAGCTCACTCACATCACCAAGGAAACATCTACGGCCGCCCCCAAACGTTCCCAGGATTATACAAATTGCAAGGCGGCTGGATCGAGATTTGCGGACAGGTATCGGCGATGCTGGGTGCTCTTGGCACGGCCCGTCACGACCTGCCCCGGACACCCCCGGTACCCTCAACAGGTCGAGCCCCAGCCCTCCCCCGAGCCCCGCCACCAGCTCCTCGCGCCTCGCGCCGGACCTTCGGAGACACCCTTCCCCGGAGCGCGTTCCACGGCTCCCCGCCGCCCCCGCCCGCCCGGCCGGGGCAGGGTTCTCACCGGGAGGGAGCCGGGGGACCCTCGCGATCTTGCTGGTGATCTCCGCAGTAAGCACCGCGAAGTCCTGCTCGTAGCCTTCGAAATCAGACGACATGACGACTCGGGAGTGACGGGCCAGACGGGGGCAGGCGCCTGGCTGGGTGAGGAAGGGAGGCGTGAGACCCCGGGGATGCCCTCAAAAGAAGCCGAAACCCGGAGACAGCTGCCAGCCGGGCCGCTTCCTGGTTGTTCGTCGGGCAATCGGTCCTCCGGAAACTGCGCTGGGGACGCGTTTTCGTTTCCGCTCTGGCGTCAGGATTTAGAAATTCGCGAAGGAAGAACGCTCCGGTTAGTCTTTTTTCCTTAATGCCTCTGAAAAGATGCGTGTTTGGGGGCCATCAGGAAAGCATTCCACCTCACTCTGGGGTGCGGTTCCGGCGCCCCAAGCCACAGGTCACAGGAGCTTGCTTCCCGACGGAAGTTTGAAAGGACGAACCTCCCGGAAGTGGCTGCAAGGTGGCGCGCCGGGCCTTAGCCAGGGGGTCCCTTCGAGGGCGCTGGCCGAAGGACGAGCAGGATGTAGCGGATCCCCCGTCTCAGCCTCTGGCGACCGCGACTTGCTTTCTGCGTGCCCGGGATAGAGGACCCTCCGACGGAGTCACTCGAAGCGGAGAAAATCTGTTCCGGGTGAGCCCAGGACACCCCGGAAATGCGATGGCTGAGAAGCGGGCACCGGGGACGAAACGGAGGTGGGAGTCAAGGCAGGGCATGTAACCGCGAGTTGGGCGGTCGTCGTCCCATGCAACCGAGGTCATCAGTCTCCGGAAAGTTAAGGTCAACCTCGCCGGGACGGAAGTTCCTCTCCTGAGTGAGCCTTCCTAAACGCTCCGCTCCAGGACACGGGCGGGAAACAGAGGCATCCGAAAGAGACATCTGTTGTTTGGGAATCTCCACCGCCCCGCCTGGGCCCAAGATCTTTCTTCGACTCCCGCCTGCCCAGACAGAAGTAACCCTTTCGCAAATCTCTGCGCCCCTCGCTGCCTTCTCGCCTGCTTCCTCCATCCCTTCTGGCAGCTCTTCTCTCATTCACGTTTAGAATCTGACTCGATTTCACCTCCTGCACCCCCATCCCCATTTCCTTGGGTGCCAAGGACTCGTCGTCCTGCTAATAGCAGGCGAATGGCATGGGCCACAGACTGATGTCTGGCTTATGCTCGGACTTAACCCCAACACCCTGTAAGTGGCGGCTTAGAGTACTGGGATGACTCGCGCCCTATTCTGGGTTCAGCTGCTTGCTTCCTTGCTACCTCCATCTGATCACTTCGCTCTCTCTCTCTAAGCCCATTTCTCTTCTCTGTAAAGAAGGGAGCTAGATTCCATCCTCCTGACCACTTTCCTTCCCAGCTTGAAAACGCAGTCTCCTCTGGAGCCGTTCTCTGCACATGGGAATAAAGTTGGGAATTGACAAGTTGGGACGAAAGCCAACCATTTTAAGCTCATGTTAATTACCTACATCAATTTACAGTTCAGATTTGGTTGACTAGAAAGTAGCTCTCTTTTGGCTTCATACCAAAACGGTGTGCTTGGGAGTAGGCTTTTGTACAGATAATCACTGGCACGAACATCGGCCTAAAGACTTTCTGCTGAACTTTACCATTTTGTTTTCTTCAGGTTGAGTTCCCAAGCCAGCCCCTGGTTCCTCCTAGTTAAGTTAAGGAGCTCTGAGTGCTTCACGGTGAGAATGGCTTGACAAACCTTCACATCCCGCACCTGGAAGGCATGGCAGTGTGGGAAGACCTGTGGACTTGTGGCCCCTGGAAATGTACGCCCAGAAAGAGGAAATCCCTCGTTCTTTAAAAAGAGGAAGGAATCCTTCCGCCCCGCAATGGGTACATTCTGCTCAGTTATCAAGTTTGAAAATCTCCAAGAATTAAGGAGACTGTGCCACTGGGGGCCCATCATTGCCCTTGGTGTGATCGCAATGTGTTCCACAATGGCCATGATTGACTCGGTCTTGTGGTACTGGCCCTTACACACCACGGGAGGAAGCGTGAATTTCATCATGCTGATAAATTGGACAATCATGATTCTTTATAATTACTTCAACGCTATGTTCATGGGACCTGGCTTTGTCCCTTGGGGATGGAAACCGGTAAGACGAAAATTCTCTTCAAGATGATGAACTCTAATGATCATGTGTTTACTTGTTGCCTTATCGAATACCCGATAATATCAAACAACCTGGACTAATAAGAATACTACACTGGTGGTGGAGCAGTTACCCATTTGGGCCCCTAACTGCAAGGTCAGCAGTTCAAAACTACCATTTGCTCCAAGGGAGAAAGAAGAGGCTTCTGACTCCCGTAATGGGTTAGAGTCTGGGAAACCCACAGGGGCAGTTCTACCCTGCCCTATAGAGTCGCTACGAGTCAGAAGTGACTTGATGGCTGTGGGTTTGCTCTTTTTCCTTACTTAGCTACTATCTCAGCCAACATTTTGCTGAATTTTAAAACTTTAGTTTTTAAAATTTTAGTAATAATGAGGAATGCCAAAGTATAGGGTGAGCAGAACACTGGCTGTGGTAGTGAAGGCTGAGTGCCATCCTGACTGGGCTGTGACTTTCAATGGTTTAGCTGTTAGGTACCAAAGGGATTTGGCAATTACATAATGATGCGATTCGGCGGTTCCATAATGACAGAGCTTGGCGGTCATGCTCCATTCTTTGACCTAGTAACTAAAGTACAGGAGGATTTGCCATCCTCTGTTTGTAGATCATGCTAGTTTTCACACAGCTGCCTGGTCTTTGGGATGCAACAGGATGACAAGTGAGGAGTAAGTGTGTTTTGATCACTGATCATGTAAGCTCAGATAATTTATTTTATAGCCCTTCAAAAATATTAATCTAAATACTCATTTCCCCACATAATATGATTGAATTTTTTTTTTTTAATCAAAGCGAGTGCAGTCCATGGTCATATCAGCTTGGGAATTGCTGACTGGCCTACTCCCGTCTTGTGCATTGTAGCTCCCACAGTGCATTGTGGCTCTAGAAGAATGTTCTTCTTGTAAAATGTTAACATTCCTCAGAATGGAAAATCACACGTTAGAAACTGCTGGACTAACTCATTATAAAAGTTCTAAATCATTGCAATGAAATCAGAAACTTGAGAAATAGACACCAAAAGGCTTTTGGCTTCTTAAAAATTGTTCCTGGAAATTGAGTGTGGTGAAGATTGCCCAGGTTTTGATCGGACTGAACTATTGAGCTGTCTATGTGAGTTTTGTCATTGCTGCCAAGTGAATGCTCGTGAATTTCCATCGTTCTTGCTGAGGCTCATCACTGGGGGCATCTGACAATTGCAGAAGCTTGGGCCCCTGTCCAGACCTCCTGGCCAGAATCCAGATTCTATCAAAATCCCCAACTGACGCATTTTAAAAAATTACCAAATGTCTTGCCATTGAGTCGTTGCTGACTCATAGTGATCCTATAGGTCAGGGTCGACCTGTCCTGTGGGTTTCCAGGACTGTAACTCTTCATAGGCGGAGAAAACTCCCAACATTCTCACAAGGAGCTGCTGGTGGTTTCCAACTGCTGACCTTGCAGGTAGCTGAACTCGTAACCAGTATGCCACCAGGGCTCCTCTAAATCTCCGGTACATTAAAGTCTGAGAAGCATGGGAATGCAGAAAGAAAATGCTTTGAAAATAATAATGTGCTTGATACAATTGATGTATGGATTGTTAAAAGAGCTGTAAGAGCCCCCAGTAAAATAATTTACTAAATTTTTTTCAAAAGAAAGAGACACTGGAAAGTACTCTGCAGATGAGTAAGACTTCATTCATACTGACAGCTAACAGTAATCTAGGAAAACAACCAAGGCGCTTATGCAAATGACTAGCCTATAAGGTAGAACGTGATTGATGCTCTTGACATTAGAAGGAGGTGATCACTTTCGGCTGGGTGCCGAAGGGAGGCGCAGCAATTTCCGCGGGAGGTAAGGAAGAGAGAGCGCAGGTAGTGGAGCTGGTGTGACGGAGTAGCAGTACAGCTGGCCGTGAAGACTTCAAGTGCACGAGAAATTGTGGCACCAGAGTTACTGGAGGCTTTCGAGCAGAGCACTGACATCATCAGAGCATGTTACAGGGATATTCTTTGGGCGATAAATGGTTTGGATTATAAACCAAGCCATGTGAAACTAGTTCTGAAGGGATTCAAGTGGCCCGGGAGAAGGGAGGTGATCACGGGCAAGTTAAAGAGGGGGAAGGGGGAGGGGTGGGGGGGTGTCAGCTGTTTCTCAGATCCAGACCTGAAATCCATGCCAGGCTGTCCGCTAGCTTTGACTGAACTCCTGTTCTGCTGAGCTTTGGGGCCAGGAGAAGCAGCTAGGTCCGGTGGGCAGGGAAAATACTGATTTTGTAAGATCTGACATGTTGCTCTTTCTGCTCAGATATGTGATGTGCTTTTCCTTTGTATTTTACTGCCAAGGAAAATTCTCAGGATACCATTTATCTCCAGTATTGTAAAGTCTGCCGAGCGTACAAGGCGCCCAGGTCGCACCACTGCCGAAAATGTAACAGGTGCGTGTCTGCCAGGGATTTTCAGTGGAGCATTTTGCCTCTGGCTCTGAAGAGTAGGATTAAAAAAAGTTACATTGTCAGTTTTTCACCCCCATATACAGGGATTAATTATGGTGATTAGCTGCCATCCCAACAACAGAATCACTCGGTCTCAAACATAAAAGAGACCTGTTTCCCCATGATTTATCTGACAAGCCTGCACACTTATTGAAAGTAATGAAAGAACCCAAGTGCCTATTACCACAAGCATTGGTCTTTATGTGAAGAATCCTAATGGGAGCAAAGGGACTCACGATTTAGAAATTCATGTGAAATAATACAGACCCTTTATCGTTGAACAGCTGTAGCCACTGATTATTAAGTGATTCATGATGTTGATCATTAGATATAGGGGAACCACTGGAGGTGCCCCCCCCCCCCAAATAAAGATAATTTTTTTTTTTTAAGGAAAAGAAAAAGTTTGGGTGAGGCCCAAACAATATCTTCCAGTAACAATAAGGAAAGGGAACACAGCCCCACTGTTGGATCGTACCACATGCGGCTTTCAGGAGTTAATTTGCCACTCAGTCAGTCAGTCACTCACTCACTCACTCACTGACTCATTCACCCACTCACTCACTCATTCACCCACTCACTCAGTCACTCAGTCAGTCACTCACTCACTCAGTCACTGACTCATTCACTCAGTCAGTCACTCACTCACTCAGTCACTGACTCACTCACTCACTCACTCACACACTCACTCACTGACTCACTGACTCACTCATTCACCCACTCACTCACCCACTCAGTCAGTCACTCACTCACTCACTCACTCATTCACTGACTCATTCACCCACTCACTCAGTCACTCGCTCGCTCGCTCGCTCACCCAAAGAAAGAAAAAAAAAAAATTTGCCAAGCCCAGCGACACACCTGAAGGTGACTGTGAGAGCAGGTAGAAAGGAAGTTAGAAGCTTCTTCCTGCTTGGGCCTATCACCTGGAGTGAAGAGCTGTAAGTGATGCTGCTGCAGTTCTATTGAGCTCCAACTCAGTCGTTGGGTCACAGCGCTCACAAACCCAGGCGCCATGCTCCGGTCTTTATGCAGAGCCTCTGGTTGGGTCGCCCCTCTAAACAGACATGCCTGTACCAGAAGCTGTTTCCAGGCCTGCCCTTTCTGCAACTGCTCAGACTGTAAAGGAGCCACTGTTGGTAATTTTAGCGACTGCCCTGCCCCTGTGACTTGTGGGCAGTCTGATTCACCTTGGCATGATCCTTTGAAGACCAAGGTTATGTCACACAGACAGGATTTACCGCCTCACGATTTATACCTACTGCTCTTGCCAGATGTGTGATGAAGATGGACCATCACTGTCCTTGGATCAACAACTGCTGCGGCTACCAGAACCACGCCTCGTTCACACTCTTTCTCCTCTTAGCGCCGCTGGGCTGCCTCCATGCCGCATTCATCTTCCTGATGACCATGTACACACAGCTTCACCACCGGGTGAGTGAGGAGGCCCTTTATCGGTTACCCAGGCCCGTGGAAGGGTAGTCACCAAGATCATTAGTGAAGTCCCTTTGGAAATGTGCTTTCTATGATTTAGAAGGGGGCGGGGAGACTTTACCTCTGTCTGGGTTCCTTCGTAAGAAACGTTAAGACGTAGTCCCTAAGGGGAGGACAGGGCTTTTGTTCTGGACCATGCCCCTCAGGAGGGGGGGTCGGCAAACTGGGGCTCTCGTACTTGTGGCTCTGAAGTAAAGTTGAAAATGAAACTATTATAGATTATTTTGTTTCCCTTATTTATAAAAATATATTGATGGCTCTCGAATAATTTTTAAGTTGTCGTAACGGATGGGATTGGCTCTTAAGTCTCAAAAGTTCACCATCCTCATCCTCGCAGTGTGGTTTTTACTCTGACACCCAGGGCTTGCTGGGAGTCAGGATCTCCCCCTTGTATGCCATAGTTAAATTAGTGGATTATTTTAGTACTGTGTCAGTGTAGATAGAGATGTACGTGGTTATTATGTACATAATAAAGCGCATTCGATGTCAAATTCACCTATTATAAGAATAGTCAGGGGCACGATTGAAGATGACAGGGAGGGCACCACCAAGGCATTCTCCTCCCATCAGAGCCCTGTGGCCGCTCTTTTCGGACTCCGGGGTTGTGACTGTGGAGCAGGGGCTTGCCCTCGAGCATACACCGCAACAGATCAGGGTGACTTCAGGGTCAGGAGCTAAAGTTCACAGGTCACAAATTCATGTCCATAAAGAAGCCTCGTAGATAAATAAGGGACACGGGCACAGCAGGCCTGTGACAAGGCAGCCCACAGGTAGTGTCATAGCTGACGCCTTCAGCTTGACTTTGGTGGTTGCCATTCTTGCGAAGCACCCTGGGAGAACTAGGGTTTGGGGGTTGAAGTCGTCATGTCTTAAAGGCCACCCCAACTCAGGATTTTCAAACCTGGTCCTGACCGGACAGCACATCTCGGTCCACAGCTGGCCTTCCTTCCTTTGCCACTTCTTCCCTCTGGCTGTGGGGCGGAGGGAAGAGATGCCTGAGGCTGCTTGTTGCTGTGGGAAAATCTGGGTGTCCGAGGAGCGCTTGAGAATCACTCTGACCGGCGTGTGGCACTGCTGGTGAGTGCCAGTCACCGCATTAGCCAGGAACCGCTGGCTTGCCTGGACTGGCTTGGGCCAGTGTCAAGTGGGTGTGCTCTTTTGGGCACGGTCTGTTTTAATGCTCCAGAGAAGAGCCCGCCCGTTCACCTCAACCAGCTGTGACAGTTGTGTTGTCATTGTGTGTAGCTCTCCTTCGGGTGGAACACGGTAAAGATCGACATGAGCGCAGCCCGCAGGGACCCCCTCCCCATCATTCCTTTTGGATTAGCTGCATTTGCCGCCACCTTGTTTGCCTTGGGCTTAGCCATCGGGACAACTATCGCTGTGGGGATGCTCTTCTTTATCCAGGTGAGTGTTTCCATAACCTCTCACTAAGAGTTGCCCGTGAGAATTTCATGGGGGTGACGAGACTGCACTTGAGCCTTGAGTGTGAAACAGAAATCCCGTTTGCTTGTTCCCGCGACATAATTGACTCCTCTCTGCGCTCTTCTGAGGATTGAGGTCATTTGGAATGTCCAGAGAATGGACCCCTCGTTTCCTGGCTGAGGTCTGGAGTTCTGTGGAGCGCTGCCGTGGGGAGCACGCCCCAGGCCTTGCCAACTTCTCCCTGAAGAGGCTGGCAGAGCCCAGTGATTGTGTTTCCCTGCCCCGCGTTCGAGTAATTCATTCTCAGAAAGATTAGGTGACTCACCTAAGGTGACACCTTTACTACAGTTGACACTGTGTTTCCCCCAGTGGGTGATCCTTGGCCCCTACAGACTGAGCTCGACCAAGCCAGGAGGGCTGTGGAAGCAGATGCCCACACTATCCTGGAGCACAAAAGCGTTTCAGTGCCAGAGGGGCACTCAGCCATTTTTTGGGTCTGAAAAGGGAGCAGTCGGCCAAATCCAAATTAGTATTTGAGTCCCTAAGTGCCAGCCTGTGTGTGCTCACTTCCTCTCCCTACACACTCCCATAGGTGCTAGAATCACTCTGTGCTTTCCTGAGGCTACAATGACAGGAATGAAGAGCCCCTTGTCCTCAGAGAACTCATAGTGATTAGCATCTGGAAAGAGTTAACAAATACCAGATAGCCTAATCCACCGCTTGAAGCCAAATTCTCTGATTGTGACCGAATAGGACAGAGATGAGCGGCCCATGGGGTTTCCAAGGCAGCACTAATCTTTTTGTTATTGTTGTTTTAGAGATTGTAACTCTTTTTTTAAAATCATTTTATTAGGGGTACATACAACTCATCACAATCCATACATACATCAATTGTGTAAAGCACATTTGTACAGTCATTGCCCGCATCATTCTCAAAACATTTGCTCTCCACTTAAGCCCCTGGCATCAGCTCCTCATCTTCCCCCTCCCTCCTTGCTCCCCCTTCCCCCATGAACCCTTGATAATTATTTATAAATGATTATTTTGCCGTATCTTGCACTGTCCGATGCCTCCCTTCACCCACTTTTCTGTTGTCCATCCCCCAGGGAGGAGGTTATATGTAGATACTTGTAATCGGTTCCCCCTCTCGACCCCACCTTCCCAGCATCGCCACCCTCACCACTGGTCCTGGATTCCCTGTGTTTCCAGTTCCTATCTGCACCAGTACATCCCCTGGTCTAGCCAGATTTGTAAGGTACAATTGGGATCATGATAGTAATCCCAAAAGTTGTATGTTTCATCAATGCTACACTGCACCCTGACTGGCTCGTCTCCTCCCGGCGACCCTTCCATAAGGGGATGTCCAATTGCCTACAGATGGGCTCTGGGTCCCCACTCCATACTCCCCATCATTCACAATGATATGATTTTTTGTTCTGATGATGCCTGATACCTGATCCCCTCGACAGCTCGTGATCACACAGGCTGGTGTGCTTTTTCCATGTGGGCTTTGTTGCTTCTGCGCTAGATGGCCACTTGTTTACCTTCAAGCTGTTAAGACCCCAGACGCTATATCTTTTGATAGCCAGGCACCATCAGCTTTCTTCGCCACATTTGCTTATGCACCCATTATTTGTCTTCAGCGATCATGTCAGGGAGGTGAGCACACAATGATATGATTTTTTGTTCTTTGATGCCTGATAACTGATCCCTTCGGCACCTCATGATCACGCAAGGGCAGCACTAATCTTAATGGAGCCAGGAGCCCGAGTGGCACTGACTCTGGGAGAAAGATGAGGCTGTCTGCCCCTCTAAAGAGTTACGGCCTCGGAACCATCTCCAGGAGCTCAATGAGTTACAATTGACTAAGTGTCGGTGGGTTTGGTTTTGGTAGCATCTTTATGGAAGCAGACTGCCACCTCTTTCTCTGAAAAAGATGCTGGTGTGTTCAAACTGCCCGCCTTTGGACCACCAGGCTGCTCCTGTATTCTGGAGATGCTTATAAAGTGCTATGAGAACCCGAGGGGGAGCACAGAACTGTGAAGGGATGTCTTGCCAAAACATATGTTTAGGCTGTTTCTCCTACTCTATTAACGTGTCCTTCAGGAAGACCCCCTGACGGCTGGGCCGGGGATTAGGTCTTTGGAACCCCTGCAGTGAGACGGTGGAACTCCTAACTAGGAGTGCTGGGCTTTCGGGCCCTGGAGCTTCACCCAACCCTTGTGAACTCTTTGCTTTTAAGCTGAACACGTTTGTATTTGGCTGTATATTTTCTATCAGTCCAGGGACAATGTCTTTCAAGTCTTCCCCCTCCCCACCCTCACCCTGTGCTTGTGATTAAGAATTATCATAGAGTAAAAAATATTATATTAGAAATAAGCTAAAATCCTGTGGGATAAGAGCTTGCATACAAGGAATTACTTATGCAGTCAAATAATCAAAAGCACGTGCGTTTAACTTTTTAAGGCAAACAGGAAATTCCTTAATACTGTATATCACTGCTACTTCTCATAAACTGAAGGTAAATTAAAAATAGAAGAGATTTTAACAGCAAGACACACAGGAGCAGTAATTAGATTATATCCCTGTTTTTATTACTGCTCTCATAACCTGGTTCAGCAGCATGGATTCTGATTAAAATAATATATTCGGCTTGGACGATGGATGGATGGTGTAATCCCCGTTCTGGAGGGACTCCAGATTGTGGTGGTAAAGAATAAAGTCGTAGGGAAGGGATGTGCAGGGGGCGGGGGCTGTCTTGGGATCCCAACATCACAGTTGACAAGCTGTGGTACTTAGCCGCCTCTGGTGTGTCTTCGTTGTGAAAGGGAGCCACGGAAGCTACCTCCCAGGGCTCGTATGAAGATGATTACCTTAACTGGTCGGAAGCCACATTATTCAATGGTGCTATCATTTTGTTTCCAGATGAAAATAATTCTCAGAAACAAAACTTCTATTGAATCATGGATTGAAGAGAAGGTACATTTTTATAATTTGTTCCTCACTGTTAATCAAGTACCAGATAATCAATAGACCGAGTTAGCTAACAAATGTCCCAAATGGAAACTTGACCGTCAAGGGACTCGTGAAGTTGATGGCTCGCTGCATTTGGCTTCATTTCGGCTGTAATCTCCCTGCTGCAGAAAGACGCTTTTCACCTAGCCCGAGGGGCTGGAGGGGTCCAAGCCCAGCCACTCATCCCAAAGCCTAGAGGAGAAGGTGGCACGTTTGAAAGGAATTTCCATCCCACCCAACCTCTAGCAAGTCTTTCTTAGTATTTGAGATGTCAGGTAAGGCCTGTAGGATTTAGCCTGTCAGCAGGCCTCACAGCCTCCACACGATACCATGTGTGTTAGGCCCAGTTGTCTAAAGAAACAAATCATGTGACACTCATGTATAAGAAAGAGCTTTATATCAAGAAGTAATGATAAGCCATGAAGGCATCTCAGCCCAGTCCACCCTAAGTGCGATGCTAGTTCCTAAGTCCTCTTCAGACTCACGTAGCTTCATGCTACTGACACAGAAGGGTCAGCACTGGAAAGCAGGAAGGTCACAAGCTGGTGGTGGATGCAGAGTCCTGTGCATCCCAGGCTGGTGGGGCAGGGCAGGGCAGTGGCCGCTCTCAGGTGGCCCACATGGGCCTATGGAGGCAGTCAGAGAGGCCAAGAAGCACTTCCCAGCTTATACGAAGGCCACGCCCCCAAGGAAGCATCATCAGGCCTGATTGACAGTTTGGATTCCACCCCTACACTTTCATGAGAACGCAAGTGGCTGTAAGATCCCGCTGCCACACCAAGTCATCCCAAATTGCCCAGAGTTCATACTTTTTATGCTTCTAGATTGCTGCACTTGTGTTATGTTCTCTGCCTCGGAGGCTTGTCCTCATTCTGCGTGCTTTCTTATCCCGCAAGTCTTCATGTACATGCCATTTCCTCTTCAGGATCCCTCCTGAACCTTCGCTAGATACAGTCAGTATTTCTGTCCCCTTTCTCCCATAGCAACCACAATCCATATAGGTCTCACATCATATATATCTCATATCATATAGCATTGGTAACATTCCCCCAACCTCACTGAGTGCTCATCTTGGGCTAAGATCTTGTTGCGGTCATTTTTGTAAACTACTCTCACCCTTACCTAGTTTTCATGTCAGTAGTCTAGATCTCTGTTCCCTGAGACCCTTACTCCATTTGGAAGTCTCCAGCGCTTTGTTTTATGAGCAGGGAAAGAAAGCAGCCTTTGCTATGTGGGCATGGGTAAAAACCCACTGCCGGTGAGTTGTTTCCCACTCACAACGGTCTTACCTGGGGCGCCAGAGAGCGGTCTTACCTGGGGCGCTAGAGGCTGTCGCTGTGCTGTAGCAGACTGCCTCTCTTCCTCAGAATGGCTGGTGGGTTTGAACACCAGCCTTCTCATTAGCAATCAGCGCTTACCCAGCCACCCACCTGGCCTTCTGATGGGTGTGGGTGGAGTTATGTATTTTAATAGACATATACATGTTAGCCACTTGACAGTTCTCTCTATGAATAGTTAATATAACTTGATAAATAATTGCAGTAAACTTTTTCCAAAAACATTGTTCCCTGATAATGAAATGTTTCAGTAGCCTAAAATGTTGACATTAAATTAACACACACATGCACACACACCCATGAACAAGACGTTATGAAATGCTGATTGATATTTTGTTTAAATGGGCATTCTGGTCCTAAGCTTAAATTTTAAAAATGTGATTGCATGTGTCAAAATTATTAGCCCTCTGAAGATTTAAACAACAAATCCTCGTAGGTGTGTAGATGTTTGGGAGGAATAAATAATGTGTCTCTGCACCATTAGGTGTCAGTGGAACTTAAGCAATTTGAAACCAGTTTATTTCTTTAGTGAAAGTACGGAAGAATTTTGATACCTAGAATATAATTTTATGCCATCTGAACATTTCTTTATGTATATGCATAGTATGTATATATAAATGAGCACGCATGCAAGTGTGATGATTATTTTAATTTAATTAAAAGCAGATCTGAACATGCCTGCTAGACTTTTACAAAACCCTTCCCAACAAACAAGGCCTCCACTGCTGCCATGCACACCTCCCCCCCTACCACCTCCCCCACCACCTCTGCTGTTCCCACAAGTCACCAGGCACTGCCCAGCCAGGTCCCTGCATGTGCAGTACCCCGAGAAGCAGCAAACCCTTAAATCAGCCTGTTCTCATCATCCCTTCTTTGATCCTAGAGCCCTTTTACGCTGCCTAGCAACCAGGAGCGTGAAGGCTTTGTAAGGCTGTCGTGTGAATAAGAGTGTTTGACTGTTTATTCCTAATTGGGCCCTGCCCGGTGTTTTCTGGGTAGCCACATCCACAGTGGGCATTCTTCCTGTGTCACGGTACGGGTGAGGGTGACGTGGTGGCCAGGAGGGAGTATTTCTGTAACGAAATGCTGACATGATGGAAGCCATCCGAGACGGAGACATTGAAGCATCGGCCCTCTCCTTTCTCTCTCCCCACAGGCCAAAGACCGCATCCAGTATTACCAGCTCAATGAAGTCTTTGTGTTTCCTTATGATTTGGGAAGTAGGTGGAGGAACTTTAAACAGGTCTTCACGTGGTCAGGGGCCCCTGAAGGAGATGGGCTGGAGTGGCCGCTGCGAGAAGGTTGTCACCAGTACAGCTTGACAGTGAGTATCGGGTTTGTCACTAGACCAGTGTCCTCAGCCTTCCTCAGGCCGCGGCCCTTTCATGCAGTCCCTCATGTTGTCGTGCTCCCCAACCATAAAACTTATTTTCGTTGCTACTTCATCACTGTCATTTTGCTACTGTGATGAATCGGGCGACCCCTGTGAAAGGGTCGTTTGACCCCCAAAGGGGTCACAACCCACACACCGGTCAAGAACCGCTGCACTAGACCTTCCATTTTGCCTCCCCTGCTGCCCCATCCTTCCTAGCGTGTGCAGGTGACGTTCTGGAGTAAAATGAGTGATGAAGAAATGTTCAAGAGGGAAGTCTAACCCTGAGTGAGTCACAATCGTGAGGTTGGCACAGGACCAGGCAGTGTTTCGCTCTGGGGCTCATAGCAGTGCTCTGAGTCAGAAGCAACACCTGACAACAAACAACCACAAGTGAATGACCTAAACCAGGGGCCGGCAAACGGTCAAGTTGGAAGAGCCAGTCCTGTCCCTCACAACAACTTAAAAAAAAGTATTCGAGAACCATAAATGTATATTTTTACAGGCAGATGAAATCACCATTATCCAAATAACATCCTTTAAACGCATCAGTTTAACTTCGGAGCCGCATGTGGGAGCTGAAAGAGCCACATGGGGCCCACGAGCCGCAGTGTGCAGACCCCTGACCGAAGGGTTCCTCGGGGCTCATCTCTCCTTTTACTGAACCCCCGCTTTGAGCGAAACGCTTGATTCCTTAACTCTGTTTTTTAACACAGTGGCCTCCCCTCTGTTCCGTTTTGCTTTCCAAGAGGCATCACCCTTTCCAATCAGCTGAGTCTGGCCCCGCTCAGTGTGAACACCTCATGTGTCCTCTACCTCATTGTCTGACCTCTGTGCTCTCTGAATTCATGACCCCCCCCCCCCTTCCCGTGACAGTCTGCCCTCCACTTTGCACTGGGCACTTGACCGCATCACTTGTCTGTCATTCTTGTAGCATGTCTTTCCTGACAAGAATCTCAAGCAGGGGCCCTGGGCTTTCCTTACTCTCCCTCCTGTTTCTCATTCCATGCTGCTGTGAATCACTGCATTGCTGACCCACTGGCCAGTGAAGTGTAGCCTTCGTTCAGATTCTTGTTTTCCGAGCTTGTGGTTGGTCTGCCCTGTCTAAGGAATCGCTCCAAACCCCAGCGTCTTCCCCCACGGGCCGAGCCTCTCTCCCTGGCCCAGCCCACAGGGCTGCACTCTGAAAAGACCCAGGTGACGTTGCAGAGTGGATGCTGAGGAGAGAGTGCCCCTCAGCCTCTGCTGCTGAGGCTGGAGCCCTTCCTGTGCTAAGAGGCATGTGCCCTGTAAGGTACCAGTGGTTTGAAACACTGGGAAGTTGGAAGTTTGTCTGGTCCTTTAATAGTAGGTGAGGAGAGGCTTTTTTTTTTCCCCAAACCCTGAAATACTTCACTTAATTTTCTCTTATATCTTCCAACAGATAGAACAGTTGAAACAAAAAGCAGATAAGCGAGTCAGAAGTGTAAGTAACTCTTTTACAACAATACCAATTAATTTGTTTCTTACTCAACCCCATGTAGGATTTTTATTGCCTTTGGATAGACACAGTCGGTGGCTCTTATTAACTAATGCCATAATACGCATTTATGAACATGGGCTGCAGTTCGCTTCCCTTTGGCCTTTGTTTAAATAGCTTGGCCTGGAGGTTCAGCAGGACTTTCGTCAGTAAGAATTTAATCAGCAGTACTGTTGCTGAAACAGAAACGTCATGTCCTCCAGACAGCTCATGCAGTGTGAATCCCGTCTTCCCTGACCCTGTGGTCTAGGACACTGGCCTGTAGCCGTGTGTGGCTCGTGGGATGTGAATTCTTTACAAATGGAATAGAATGGCAGCACGCGCCACTTTGTGTCTAGTGGTCCCCACGCTGGGGAGTGCAGATGTGCAGTCCGGCTACCTCTGTAACCTCATTCTTAGCCACGTGCTTGGAATGAAGACTGAAAGGCCTGGAGAACAGGAAGTGTCCCGGCCTCTCGTGAGGGCCCTGGGGTGTGGGGGGGATTGGAAAGGAAGATGGCTCGTCGCTGGATGCTGGAGGCCCCCCTTTCACACTGTGCTCAGCCATTTGGAGCGCAGCCCCTTGTACGTAAACACTCCCATCGTTCTTCTGGCCCCTGACGGCAGGTGCGCTATAAAGTCATAGAAGACTATAGTGGGACCTGCTGTCCTTTGAACAAAGGGATCAGGACCTTCTTCACAAGTCCCTGCACGGAAGAGCCTCGGATGCGGCTGCAGAAGGGGGAGTTCGTCTTAGCCACCAGAGGCTTAAGGTAAGTGGCGCCCCGTGAAGGGCAGGCATTCTGCAGTGACAGGATTGACTTGTCGCCTGAAGAAGTTCACTGTCGATCTTTTCAATGTTTCAGATACTGGTTGTATGGAGACAAAATTCCCGAGGATGCCTTCGTAGAAGGTACGGAATTGGATGTTGACAGGGCAAGGTGGCTAACAGGGTTCTGAATTCTGCCTCACTGACTGGTGGAGAGCCACATGGCGAGCACAGTAGGGGGCTTCATAGGAGGACAAGTGACTAAGAGACCAGAAGGGACTCCTTGGTCTTTCTCCATAGACGTATGTGCCAGACTTCATTTGTGTGTAAATGCTGCCCTGTGACAGGGAAGCCCCAGCAGCCCTCCGAGGTGGGCACTGTTCTTTTTGCTGGGCTGACCGGGGAGGCAGCCAAAGCAGAGAGGCCCAAAGCCCCTCAAGATAGGTAGAGCCCGGACATCAGCCAAGCAGCTTGACCCCCAGGCCTGTGTACTAACCCCCTGTCACTCCCCTCACTGGAATGTTCTTTGTGAGTTAGCATGAAGCCTAATGGCTTGAAACTTGGCCTTTGATTTTTTTTTTTCTTTTTTTAATTTGTAGAATTCTTCCTTTCTTAAAGTACAGATTAACCTGGGGCACTCTTTACAAACCACCCTAGGTTAATCTTGAGCTGACCTCAAATGGGAGTGAGGGGGCCTGGTTCTAGAAAATGCCGTGGTAGAAAAAGCCGCAAAGGGACCTTGACCAAAGCGAGAGGAACAGCAGAAGCTCGGTGGACACCGACACCCCCCACCCCAACCCCTTTCGCTAGGTGGCACGAGTGAGCGCTCCGGCGAAGTCCCCGAGTGGAAACTTAGAGACTGGCCTCGATCACAGTCGCCCCTTTCCCATCTGTTCCCCATGAGCCCCCTTTTAACCAGTTAGGCACACTCAGAAGTCCTGTTTCTTACTGCCCCCACCCCTGACCCCCCACCCCCGTGCTGAGCAGAGAAAGGAAAGGGGTGAAGAAAGAAAGTGAAACCCTAGTCATGTGTGGAGCATCTGCCTGTGCTACCGCTGTCCCGTTTCCTCCCACAGGTGTGTCGAGACTCAGGGGGTGGTTCCCCAGGAAGTGTGTGGAGAAGTGCCCCTGCGACGCTGAGGCCGACTGGCCTCCCGAGGGCGAGAAGAAAACCAGATAGCCCCTGCTCAAGTGCATCCGCCTCCAGGGCCTCCATTACTTGAACACTGTGCATAGCCGACCGCAGTATGCACCGAGCGGCTCTGCTGGCAATGCCCTTCTCCAAGGTGCCCCAGTGCCACGACTCCAATGTTCTTATTGCCATGTGGACGTGGAGAAGCCATTCCGCACCTGCCTTTGAATTCCTGCTGCCCCCTCCCCACTCCCGCCCCATCAAGGGGAGGACACTTGGTTCAAGTAAGCTGACGGGGTTGGGGTTTCTTGGATGCACTGCACACTCGACCTCCGCTGCAGACAGTGCCCGGGTCCAGGAGCGTCTGCATGCGATGATGCTATCCCTCCGTGGTGTCTCCCTCCGTGGTGTCTCCTAAGTGGTATTCTAGACGCTAGAGAACCTAAGCTGTCAGACTCACCGTCAGCTCCAGTTTGATCAGTGTCTTTTACTAATGCCGACTTTGATCAATTAAAAGATCAGTGGCCATTCTGTATAAGTCACCGTTGTTTTGTTTTGTTTTCATCAAGCTGTCTTCGCTTTCTTTTCTGCTGGTGAAACAAGCTTTGTCTTAGTTCTTTCTAGAGAAGCTGCTGCTCTACAGCCCCTGGTCGTACAGTGGCCCCTGGAGACATGAGCTTTGAGGTACACATGTTAACCCAGTATGCAAACCCCTGGGTCAGTGGTTGGGACCTGCAGCGGCTCAGAGAGGGAGAGAGGCTGTGTGCTCAGGGGAAGCTGTCAGCCTTGGAAACCCTCTGGGGCAGCTCTGCCGTGTCACATGGGCTTTAGGTGAGTGGGAATCACAGCAAGGGGGATCAATGGTGTACCGAGGTTGTAGCCGCTTAAGACCTTTCATCTGGTGACCAGGTTGCTCGTGTCAAGTTGACTATGTCCAAAACCAAAGTAAGTGATAGGATCCACACTGGTGCACACTGGATACTTAGGAAAGATTATCTAACCAGGTGCAGAGTGCACTCACTCCTCTGGACTCGGTAACCTGTTCCAGTATTCCTTCTGCCTAAGGCAGGGGCCCTGGCATCTCAGGGGCTAGATGTACAGTAGTTATGAATGAGGAAAGGGCACTGAGAAATTCAACAGTGAAGGAAGCAGGACTCTGCTCCGGTCGTGGGGTGGACAGAAGGGTGTGGGAGGACCAGTGAATAAGTTCAGGTGCAGGAATGTAAGAGAGGGTGGGGGTAGGGGCTCTTAATGTAGGTGAGACTGAAGCAAATAGGGGAGCAGGTCACGTTCTGGGGTGGGGTGGGGGGAGCACAATGAAACACCACTACGATATGTGCAGCACGGTGGGAGAAAGCAAGTTGGAATGAGTAAGAGGAAATGAGCAAAGAGGATCCCCGGCGTTCAGTCCTGAAGGGTTTACTTGGGTCATCACGCTGGCTTACACATCAGACTCGCCTGGGGAATGAGCCCAAGGGCCAAGCTGGACCCCAGACCAATCATTCAGAACCTCTGCGGGTGGGGTCCCAGCAGCAGCATGGTTTTTTGTAAACTTCCAGCTAACTCCCGAGCACAACCAAGTCGAGATCCACTAGTTTACTCGATTGTTCAGTAGCCTTTGTGTCCGTCGTCGTCCTCCTCCTCACAGAAGTAAGCACAGCAGTGTGTTTCTCTTAATTTAAAGACATTTATTATTTAAAGACAAGCAGAAGCCATCCGTTTGAATTGGGGGTAGGGTACAACGAGGACTGACGTTCAGAGGATAAAAACCAACGAGCCACCTGCTCCCTTCCCAGAAGATAAAGGCTGTTGTGACAACACCCTGCTCGCCCAGAGGTCTTCCTTCCACTTCCGCAAGTCTGGACTCCTCGTGTCTCCGTTGACTGAAACAGTGCTCTTTGGCCTGCATTTCAGCTCTGTCCCCATCATCCAGCTCCGCAGCCAACTGTAAGGAACAGAGGGAGTCGCCGGCTAACGCTGTAGGGAACATGGAAACAACACTGTTTTGAAGTGTGAACATTCTTTGGTGACCGAGCTGAAGGCCTGAAGCTCAGGTAGAGAGGCGATGCTCAGCATGCTACAAACATTCCCTCTGCAGACTTCACACAGACGTACACAGAAGACATTTGCCATAGACAGTCATTAAGATCCGCAATGTGTGTGGTTTTGTCGAGTAGCAAGAAAGCCCCTGAATGATTCACAGCGTTTAAAGGTCTCATAATTTGAACATTGGGAGGCCGACATGTTGGGGCCTTCAGCAAGTTTTGACTGCAAAATACAAGGAAGGATTGCAAAGGGTCACTGGCCCTTGGATTCATGGTCACTTAGAAGCTGAATTGGAGATGGTGAAGATAGGCCATGGAATATAAAAAAGGATGCCCACAGGGGGGCATCTCATAGCAACACCCTAAGACAGGGAAGAGCTCCCCCTGTGCGTTTGCGAGACAGTCTTTATGAGAACAGAAAGCCTCGTCTTCCTCCCATGGAGTGGCTGGTGGCTTCAAACTGCTGACCTTGCAATTAACAGTCCAGCATGTAACCACTATACCACCAGCGATGGATTCAACTCGATGGCAGTGAGTTCAAAGGAGTTTATTGATTCAAACAAAAGCCACTGCCGTTGAATCAATTCCAACGCAGTGTGATCCTGTGTGACAGAGTAGAACTCCTTACAGTTTCTGAGACTCTACATCTTTTTGAAAGCAGACACCTTTATTTTTCTCTCACAGAGCAGATGAGGGCTTTGAACTGCCAACTTCATGGTTAGCAGCCCAATGCTTAGTCCACAGTGCCACTAGGGCTCCTATGTTGATAGAAGTAACCCTAAAATCTTAAGAGTAGCCAAATGTAAAGGAGGAGGGACAGGACTTATGTATGTAGTCAGGCTCAGTTTCCATAAGACTCAACATTAAAAAGGGAAAGCATCAGCTATGGCTTTAGAACATATTACATCAGGTAGAAAGGACCAAGACCTGGTCCGTGTCTCCCACCAGCAGCAGCAAGCAAGCAGGCGGGCGGCCTCCAAGCCCCTTCCAACCACAAGTACCTTGATCTACTCCTTGATCGATTGATACAGGCTATCGATCTGCACCCGGAAGTATCTGGAAAGGTCTGAGCGCTTGGCTTTCAGTGTTGGTGTCAAGAGTCCATTTTCAATGGAGAATGGTTCTGGGTGAAGATAGATTGTTTTGACCTGGAAGAGAAGATGAAACACACACACGTGATTAGTGTTGATTTGGATTCCCCTGCAGCGTGCTTATGAAGAACCCAGATTAAAGAGTATTTGACACTATACACATGGAGCTGAGCAATCAGGATAGCGATGGGCACGGGGACAGAATGCCCAAAGAAAGCGGGGCGGAGGGGGGTGGGGGAAGTGACAGGTCCAACAGATCATGAAGAGCACAGAGAAATATGAAGAACAGTAAAGCGGAGCAATGTCACGGCCATTGTCCCATCGCTCAGTGGTTCAAAGCCCAAAATCTCTGAGAAGCACAGACTTAGACGCCCTGACAAAGGATGACATTAAACAGCTTCTCGTTTGACTTGACAGACCAAGACAACATCAGTACATACTTGTTCAAAGGATTTGAGGCCACTCTCTTTGCCAAGTTTCTGCAAGTCTTCCAGAATGGCTTCCTGCACTGCCTGAGAGGATAAATGAGGGGGAACGTGCCTGAATGAACAGCCAATGGGACCCAACCCAAAATGCCCAGAAAAGTCTGTCACATTAGAAATCGGAGAAACGCCAACTCAACGTGCTGTAGGGGGAGGTTCTTTCTATAAAGCATTATGTATTTTAGATTTAATGCCCACTTGCACCTGTGCAGGGGTAGAGTTCAACTTGTCAGATCACAGCCTGATAAGGCCTCCTGGGAGGTATGGCCTTTTCACGGGACTCCTCTCTCTCTCTCTGCCCTTCCTCTTACTGCTTGCTGGGACTCTGTGATTGCCTCCAACTGTGGTTCCATGGGGGCCGCCCCCCACCCTGAGATCTGTCAACCCGTGCCGTATTTCCACTGACCTTGAAGCCATATGACTCCGTACCCACCGGCCTGTGGTTGCCCCGCTTCCCGCTAGCATTGAACCTATGGACTACTGGAGGTGGACTGGACCGGGATGACTTCTCAATATGAAATTACTTCTTGATGCAAAGTGCTTTCTTACATATATGAGTGTCCCTGGTTTGGTTTCCCCAGCTGATCCCCAGCACAACTCAAATTAGTTGGTTTTGTTTTTTCACCCATATCCTGTTGACCATCTAATTGAACCAGTGAATCCATACGGGTTGCAGCCACCTGCCCCGGACAAAGGAAGGACCCAGTCCAGCAGAAAGTGCCTTGGCCCAGGAGTGCCCAGCTGGCTGCAGCCTCCCCTCCCCCACAACAGGCCAGGTGGGAGAGTACATCAAGCTTTCCTTTGCCAGACTTACTTGGTTTTTGCATAGTTCTTCGAAGGAGCCTTGAACTCCAAATTTGGCTGCAAATGAAGGAAGTGCATCTGAGTCTGGAACCACGATGCCTACTAAGGATGACTGTGGAAAGGAAGCAGAAGGCACAAGGACACATGAGAGCCAACCTAGGGATGGCCTTGGGTGGAGAAAGCAGGAGGAGCCTCTGGAAAAGAAAGTTCCCCGGTACTAGCAGGTCAAATCCACTACTGGTGCCCTAGTCCCTTCGCCTCCTACTTAAACACCCCCTGGGAATGCTATCCATCTCCATGCTGATCCCCCATTACAAACATGCTCTATCAGACTGTGGTCCCAAAGAGATGATGCTCAACACCAAGCGTAAAGCATCTCTGTCCTGCCTATTCCCCACCTGCCCCCCAAAAAGGTGAAATTTAAAAGTTCACTATACAAAATGCCATATAATGTTCCACATGTAATATGATCCGCATAGATTATAATATAAACATGGCGGGTACAAGTGGAGGGTCACTGATGAGGAGGGGAACCTTCAATGAACTGGATTAACACATGGCCAGAAGTAGACTGAAACATACCAACCATGATGACAATGGCTCAGGACTGGATAACATAGGGGCGCCATGGAGGGGGCGGATCGCAACTCAATAGACTAGAAAACACTGCTCTGTTAGCATGGAAGCTCACCGTAACATAGGGTTCTGTAGAAAGAACGACCACCTTTGGTTATTTTTCTGCCCACTTCTTTGCCGGCTATGATAGTTTGGAGGGGCTGATTGGGGTTCTGCATTTATAGTGCCCAACAACAGGTTTGGAATGCCACTTTGCCTCTTGAATTTTGCCCAGTTAAGTTCTTCTCCTCCTAAACCCGCTATAAACAAGCTGTTGTGGCAACAGTTAAAACTCCATCTTACCCGTAAGCTGTCCCCATGGACAAACATCTGTGCCACTGCTCTGCTCCTGATATAGACATTTTCTATCTTCTCTGGAGCGATGTATTCTCCTTGGGCCAGCTTAAAAATGTTCTTTTTCCGATCGATGATCTTCAGAGTCCCATTCTGTATAATGCAAACAGAAGCGTCAAGTGTTTTTAAGACCTGGGGGCAGGTGGCGGGGGGTGTGTGGGGGGCGTGTCAGTGTTGGAGGGGGCGAAGTCAAGTCTTCCGTCTTTGGATTTCACTTCTCTAGAGACTTGACTTCTGTGAGACTTTCCCGGATTTGGGGACCCGCTGGGCTTCTGTACATGGTTGCCTCATCCAAGCCAGAAGTTTTACAACTCTCAATTCCCAGAAACTTCCTTTTCAATGACTCCATTTGCAGGACTCTCGGGAAAGAAAGACTGGCTACCTTTTGTGGAGACCTTGGAATTAGTTAGACCTCCTTTCCTCCGCTTCCTTGGTCCACGTATTCCTCCGGTTTAGATCAGGGAGTAGGCAAAAAGGCTGACTGTTTTAGCCAATCAGGCAAGTCAACAACTGTGCTTGTTAGGACAGAAGCCAGTCTGGCACAGGCTCCCTGACCAGTCAGCACTGGTCATTCGCAGCTTCATTTCTTTAAGCTAATTAGCCTGAGAAGCCCCTAGGAGGCTCCTTTGGATTTGGATAGTGGAGTTAGGACAGGGTGCAAATGCAGTACACATGGTCACAAGCTAAGTAGGACAATGGGAGCCATCAACAAGGCTGACTCAAGACCTGAGTTCTCAAGAAGCGGAAAACAGCCCAAATGCCCATGAGTAGAAGAGTGGGTATAGGAATTCTGGAATATGCGCACAATGGAGTACAATGCGTCCCTCAAAAACAATGATGAAACTGAAACACCTCATGACATATGGAGGGAGCTGGAAACCGTTATGCTGAGTGCAGTTCTCTCTCTCTCTCTCTCTCTCTCTCTCTCTCTCTCTCTCTCTCTCTCTCTCTCTCTCACACACACACACACACACACTGCCAAAGGGTCAATTCCAACTCACAGTGAGCCTATAAAACAGAACTGCCCTTGAGTGTTTCCAAGACTGTAATTGTTTCTAGGAGTAGAAAGACCCGTCTTCCTCCCAAAGAGTGGCTGATGATTTTGATCTGCTGACCTTGCAAATCACAGCCCAACATGTAACCACCACTCCACCAGGGCTCTTTGAGTGAAGGACTCTCAAAGAGCAACGATCCCATGAGTTCACTCCTACTATACAGATGCACACAGGCTTCTGCTCTCAGGTCATATAATCTTCTACCCCAGTCTCCCAAGCAATGAGGGAGAGAGCCTGCCTGTCCCCCATGACCCATAAATCACCCCCTCTACATGTACATCTTGCAAATCACTCCAACAGAGGAGATCTCACCTCAGCTTGGGTCAGCTCATCAAGATGAGAGGAGAGGAAGAAGGCCATTCAACTGCTACCATACAACATTATGCTAAGGTAAGGTGACCAGATTTTAACATTGGTAAAGTGGGACACCATTGATAAAACTCATATCCTGGCGAAATAGCCACATGGCAGTCGAAAACCATATACCCTAGCTTGTCGTACATTCTTTCCAAAAATCAGGACTTTTAAAAAAATGCCACGGACGCGGGAAAAATTGTTAAAAATCGAGACGTCTGGTCACCTTATGCTAAGGACACCCCAAATCAATAGTCACTTCTCCAGTGGTGATAAGCAAACCTTTCTGAAAACCCAAGTCCAACTTGGGGAAGGGCGTATGTATATCTAGGTGTGGTAGTTATAGAATCTGTTTTCAATTTGAGAGGATTAAGAGTGAAGGGGTGGAGTTTAGCCTGTCAACCAGGTCGAAGCTTGATGACCTCATTTGGAGGCATGAAGGAGATAAATAGCTCGTTGGAGGCGGAACACAAGCTCATACCCTCAGAGCTATTGCATCTGACAAGACACGTGGAACTATGCTAGTTCCCTGAGCTGGAGGAGCCATATGGAGTCCCCTGCCAGTGCTGAGATGCTTACAGTGCCACTGAATCCACAAGACTTCCCATCCACTGGTCTGTGATCTTCCTGCATTCGGCGTCATTGCATGAGTCTGAAGAGGACTTTATAGATTGGTATCAGACATATGGGTTAATATTGGACTTGATCTGGACTGGGCTGGGATGTTTCCTTAATGTACAATTACTCTTTATATAAAGCTCTTTCTTATACACATATGTCTCCCTGGGTTTGTTTCTCTAGTCTATTCAAACTAACATCCTCAAGAAAGGTGATTGCATTTCTGTTGGCGGGTAAACTGGGAGAAGCACTCTCATCAGGAAATACTTAACAATACTTGTATAGAACCCAAGGGGGAGAATATGCCCTGTACTCTGTTCCTAATTGGACATTTTTAAAAACAGTTTTGTTGGCATACAACTCACATATCATACAATTCAATAGTTCAGACACATCAAAAAGAGTTGTACAATAAGTGGGCACTTTGGATCTTGTTTCTAACCAGCCCTTGGTGACCCAGGCCATGTGCTATAGACTACTGGGACTTTAGACTCTGTTCTTTTGAGCTGTACAGCATACTTCATAGGCCGCATCAGAAGGATTCAGTGCGGAAGCTCCACTAAGTGAACTGGGCTTTCCTCAAACTCACCTGTAGACGATTGAAGGAACTGAGATCCTTCCTTGGACTTAATGCTGAAGCACCCTAGTGACCAGCAGATGACTGCTTGCCCAAAGTGCTAGAATTGGCAGTCATTAGACATTGGTTCTGATCTCTTGCTTTAAGGCCACCCAATAAATGGTGGCCTGGGACTACCATATACTCACGAGTTTAATGCCCTCCTGGCTTTCTTATGACATGTATTAATCTGGTAGGCATGATTCTGCCTTTGTGACTGAGTGCTATTGAAAGTTTTGTCTTCATCTTTGTCTAAGTACAGATTCTGCAGGAGCACAATGAATTGTTTTGGAATTCCCATTTGTCTAAATGGTATACATATTTTGTTATGATCTACACAGTCATCTGCCTTTATGTCATCAATAAAATACAAGTACACATTTAAAAAAAAGAAAGTTTTGACCTATCGCCAACCCTCAGCAGTCATGTATATAGTATCCAGTCACTTGAGTTTAATCTGTACAAGTCAACAATTCATGTATTATGATCTGAAGTCTATAGATGTATAATTTCCTTTTCCCAACAATGTTTTAAATTCTATACCATTGGCAAGTTGATGACACTCTCAATAGAATTATCTTATGGCCCAGGGAATGATTTATAATAGTTCCTACCGTAAAATAATAATGATGTCTCCAAAGTGAACCAGAGACACATATAAACCATAGATGCATGCATGGATTTTGAGATCCCACTTAATTCTTGTACCAATCTAGGAACAATTCCTTCTTATAACATGGCCCTGCTTGATACTTATCTTCATGAAGATTTGGGAGCTATAGCAAAGTGTGGTGAAGAAACCAGTTGATGCCCAGCTATCAGAAAAAATAACATCTGAATCCGACTTCTTAAAGACTTATCTTAAAGCAGGCAGCTATCTAAGTGAGACATCAACTAAGTCCACATGGAGGAAGCACATCAGCCTGTGTGATCCAAGGATTGTAAATAATAAAATCCAAATCTAAAGGAGGACATGATATCAGAGCTGAAATTGTGAACACCTGGTTTACAGAAGGCTACGAGTGACAGTAGAAGCCCAAAATCCATTTGCAGGGTCCCCACATGCATTAAACCTCTGATGAATCCCTTCTAACCATAGTCTAGGGCGTGAGTAGCCTTGCTATCAGACACAGATCATTGTAAAGTTGGTTATGGCAGTTGTAGCTAGGTTAAGGTATATCAGTTGATCTCCCTTTTGACCCATTTTAAAGCTTTTCCAGTTTTTTATATTTTCTGCTTACTTTTTGATAGAACATTTCCAGTGTTGTGTCTAAATAGGGTTGTGGGTGTTGTTTGGTTGCTTGCTTCCTGTTTGTTCTGTATGATTTTCTGTCTATGGAATCAGGGTAGGGAGATCTATCAAGACAGCACGGAACTGATGCAGTGATAATTGGATTGACAATTGCCTGAGGGCATGGCAAAGGAGGACAGGGAGACATGGGAAGCTAACGACAGTGAGTATGAGAATAAGATGTCCTGACATTGATTGCACAAATCTTAATGTGATTGTGTAATATGTAAAGTATCTGCCAATAAAACTTTTTTTTTAATCTAAAGACCTGAGCTCTCAACTTGAGCCTAACAGACATTCCCTGAAGGTGCTTTATAAGGTTCATGTGACTTGGGGTGAGGACATGCCTATCGCCTACACTATAGGCCTGTTTAAGCAGGAAACGTACCAGATGCCATTAGACCCAAATCTAGGAAGTAGATCACTAAGACCAGTGCTCCTGAAAAGTTTGCAATTGAAAAACAAAACAAACCCTCCTTGGATTCACTTAAACTTGGTAATGTTGCACAAGAAAGGAGTCTGAAGGGCTAGTTTATATTCCTGTACCCTAGTATGTAGTGGCAGGAGCCCTGGTGCCTTCTTGGTTAAGTGTTGAACTGATAAAAGCAAGATCAGCAGTTGGAAACTACCAGCTGCTCCACGAGAGAAAGACGAGGCTTTCTCCCCCGGTAAAGAGTCCCAGTCTCAGAAACCCACAGGGGCAGTGCCACTCTGTCCTAGAGGGTGGCTATGACATGACCCCTCTTGGACATCGCAGGTTATGTCACCAACTTGATGGCAATAAGGTTTTTTTGTTGTTAGCGTGTAGTGGACAAAGAAAACTTTTTCAGAAGGGAGACGCCTGAAAAGTCCCCTCAGGGATTCCAAGATTCCATGACTACCATGAATTAATTCTCTCTTCATAGAAAAAAGAGGTGGGACTGCTGCTAGCAGTTTATCAGCACACTAGGCTGGAGCAGTCTCCCTCTGTCTGCCACAGAGGAGGCTGTGAGCAAACACCTCACAAGTCCCACTGCTTTTGTTTGGCTGCATCTCTGTAGACGGAGTGAAGAAAAACACAGTGGGCTCATGGAGTTTGGGAATCACAGCATCTGCCTCAAGAAACATAGAACAGAATGCTACACCCCTCACCCTGTACATTCTCTCGATCCAAATATGAGGCACTCCCTGCTGTTGAGTTGATCCCAACACACACCTACCTTAAGAGGGTACAGTCATGCCCCACCCCCGCCCCATAGGGTTTCTATGGCCATCAACCTTCTACAGAAGCAGGCTGCCACATCGTTCTCCCACGGAACAGTTGATGGATTCGAATTGCCCACCTTGGGGTTAGCAGCTGAGCGCTTTAGCCACTGCACCACCAGGGCTCCTCTCCCTAGAACAGTCACCGCCCGTTTGACTCGGCTCTGAGCATATCCATTGCATTGTCAAGGGTACCAGGCCAACTCGGAACTCCAGGCAGTGACGGATTACCCAGTACGCAAGGGAAGCAGAGGCATACTTATGCTTACTTACGAATCTGTAGTGAACCGTGTCCTGAGTTTCCACCACATTCAAGATTCTGTCTCCCAGTGTGGCAGGCTGTGTCTCTCCCAACCCCACAGTACCTTCTGACAGGATCCAGGTCCTTCTCAATGTTTCCATCCCCCACAGGGACAGAGTATCCAACAAAGAAGAAAAGCACAGGCTCGCTGGTGCTTAACACAATCATGGGTTTTCACCACATTCCTGCAATTCTTCACTACCGATTATTCAGTAAGCATAAGTAAGCCCATGCTTACCTTTCTTCTATGGGGCCATCTGGCCCTGGCTTCAGGACTTTCTGGCCTAATCTGAATCCCACCTTGAGCTTGGCTCTGGGGACAGTGTCAGCAACATTGACAACTGCTGGGATCGTTCCTTTCTAGGGAATAAGACATGAAGAAAAGCCTTCGGGGGGGATCTGTGTCTTGCAGTCTTCTATAGCACTGTGACCAAAAATAACCAAAGAACTCTGCCCAAAGGCAGGGGGCGATGTAGCAACGATGAAAAACACAACTTTCCTCTGGTTCCTAAATGCTTCCTCCCCGCCCCCACTATCATGATCTGAATTTTACCTTGCAAGTCTGGCTAGACCAGAGGATGTACGCTGGTACAGATAGGGACTGGACACACAGGGAATCCAGGGGGGATGATCCCTTCAGGACCAGTGGTGTGAGTGGTGATACTGGGAGGGTAGAGGGAGAGTGGGTTGGAAAGAGGGAACCGATTACAAGGAACTATATGCGACTTCCTCCCTGGGGGACGGACAACTGAAAAGTGGGTGAAGGGAGACGTCGGACAGGGCAAGATATGACAAAATAATAATTTATAAATTATCAAGGGCTCGTGAGGGAGGGAGGAGTGGGGAGGGAGGGGGAAAATGAGGACCTGATGCCGGGGGCTTAAGTGGAGAGGAAATGTTCTGAGAATGATGAGGGCAATGAATGTACAAAAGCGCTTTACACAACTGATGTATGTATGGATTGTGATGAGTTGTATGAGCCCCTAATAAAATGATTTAAAAAAAGAACTCTGGCCTAGAGATCATCATCACACCTGATCTCAGGATTAAATTACCAGTCCATGGAGGCACTAAGGTGAAAAATACATCTCCTAACTCCCAGCCCCAGTTCTTCAACAGCATGTTCTTCTCGCTGTAGCTTGAGAAAGCCAAACCAGGTGTGACCCAGGTCCCACCAACTACCTTAACTGATTAGCCTATCCACGCATCTGCCCTTCTTTCTATAGACAGAGGGTTCTCCCAGTTGAACAGCTTAGAGTTCCAGAAGTTAAGTACCCACCTGGAGCCAACGGCCAATGTCTCCTGTGTGAAGCCAGCCATCCTTGTCCAGGGCTTCTTCCGTCTTCTCGGGATCTTTCAGGTATCCTTTGAACACGTTGGTGCCTCGGATACAGATCTGCGTACCAGACAGTGCAAAGTGGTGACTATAGCAAAGATCACTGCTCCCAGCAGGTGCTTCCCAAGGCGCCTGCTCTCCCTGAAGCCATGTCTTGGTCTTCACTACAGTGTGAGGAGCATCCGATTTTAGTCCCCATGTGAGTGGAGAAGAAAGCGAGGCTTAGATCAGTTTAATTTCCTTGCTCAAGATCTCAAGGGAGCCAAACCCAAGTCTTCCCCCCAAGTATGTGCTCTTTCTGTTATCGACATTCCCACCATGCTTGTCTGGACAGGACAGTGGCGAATGGCCTACCCACCTCTCCTTCATTGTTTGCTGAAAAGTAGTTCATTTCAACGACGTCTTCCAGCTTCACATGATTGCAAGAGAGGGGAATTCCGACATGGCCTAGAACACACCACAATGAACCAACTGGGGGGGTCATAAAATAGCGATATTCCCAAGCACGTTTCTGAGACATTGATGGATTGACGCCAAGCAGATAAGACTGAAAAGTCACCTGGCACCAGTCTTGGGATTGTCAAGATAGGTAAGCCTGGACCAAAAATATGAATTTAGTCTTTGACATACTAATCCAGAGCTTTAGGGTTGTTTAGGTTCATACGTTCACATTCAGGTAGAACCTTTTCCCAACCACTACACCTCCTGCCCAGGTGATGCGAGACCTACCTGATGTATAATCCCTAGGTGCTGTGAATGTGCAACCAGCTGTGCATTCGGTCTGACCATAAGCTTCAAACACCTGGGGAAACCAAAAAAGGGTTTTGAGGTGTGCTCAAGATGAAGCATGCCTTCTGGCTAAGACACAAGAAAAGCAGGTTTCTTCAGGTGGGGATGTTGGAAGGCACTTCATGTCCTAATACTTTGAATTCACATCCAGGTGGTAAGTCTTTACAACTGGGCAGCTCTTCAAAATCCAAAAGTGTCCAAAAACACCACACCATGGGAACTTACATAGGAATGTAGCACTTGAAGGTCAGTGGGGAAAAGGGAATTATTCATAAAGGCTGTGAACCCTAGTGGGCAATGGAGAAATTTAAGGAAAGAGAGCGGTTATGGATCTTTTTGTTTTGCAGGGGAAGTCTGTGTCTCTGGCACAGAGCAGGGAGCGGCAGCACCGCTTCTCATCTAAGACCATCTTGGAAACCTTTTTCAGTGTGGTGACCCACCTGGCTTCTGCTTCACTACTTCACTCTGTCATTTTAGCAGGAAAGCGGCCACGAACAGGTCTGGGTGTATTCCAGTAAAATTCCATTTATTAAAACACGTGGCAGGCTAGGATTTGACCTGGGCCAAAGTTTGCCAACAGCTCTTATAGAAGATTTGTTTTGGCTGGATAGGGACTGGTGGCAGGAAACAAGCTCATAGGTTATTGTAGCAGTGGGTGTGGCCTATGGGAGAGACGAAAGCTTAGAGAAGACAGTCCTGGGATAAGGGGTGTCAAGAGAACCTCCAAGTCTGCTGGATGAACGTGAAGGGAAGGGAAACTGCTTCCAACAGCCATGACGATCTCAGTTTGCACGATGGGAGGCTCTGGACAGACTCCTTTGGGGTTTGATCATAGAATGGGGACATTTTCAGTGAGGGCAAGCCTGATTCTGTTTTGGTCACACTGGGTGGGTATAGATGGAAGCCCTGGTGGCATAGTGGTTATGCACTGGGCTGCGAATCATAAGGTCAACAGTTAGAAACCACCAGCCACTCTGCAGGAGAACAATGAGGCTTTCTGCTCCCATAGATACTTACAGTATCACTAGTCCACGGGGGCCATGCTACCCTGTCCTGTAGGGTCACTAGGAGTTGGAAGTGACACGATGGCACTGAGTTTGGTGTTGTTTAGTTTTGTTTGTTTGTTTGGTCTGGATCATCTAATAACAAACTAATTAGCCACTTAGAAAAATAAATGAGTGGGTAGACTCTATGATCAAATCCCAAATTCTGGATGGAGCAGAGACTCATATGGGAAAGAAAGAAAAAGAAAAAAAGTAAAGCCACAAGCATACCAGAAAAATTGGGCAAAATACATGGGTGAAATATTGGTAGTTAGGAAGTCCTGTATAAGCGATTAAGAAGCCATAAATAGAAAGAATAAATCAACTAGACTACACAGAAATTTGAAGCTTTTTGTTGTTGTTGTTAATTAAAAAATCCTTTTATTGGGGACTCTCACAGCTCTAGATTTGAAGCTGTTATATAACAATAAGGCCAAAAGGTAGGACTATCAAGGAAAGATATTTCTTTTCTTTTTTTTTTTAACATTTTATTAGGGGCTCATACAACTGTTATCCCAATCCATACACACATCAATTGTGTAAAGCGTATTTGTACATCGTTTCT